GAACGTCTACGTTCGTACATTCGTTCCAACTTATAATTTACATCTCATTTTTTTGTAATAATTATTTATTTATTTTGTGAGTAATTATTTGTTTGCATTACATTTTCTTATTATATATAATCTACTCACGTTTAATATTCGAATATGGATTTCATTAAAAATGTTGTTCAAAAAGGTAAAAAAAGTGCACTTGAGCATGTTCAAAATATGTTGAACTTTACATCCTCCGATAATAAAAAGACCGGTGGCTCTTCTAGATCTAAAACTAAAAAATCTACTATAGTAAGAATGAATAGAAGGATTATACACATGTTAATGATACTGTTTTTAATATTGATAGTAATTCTGGATTAGATTCTTATCATGAACATTTACAAAACCAGTTTGGTAATTTTAATGAGGATTTGCCTGAAGATGATGAAAATGATAATGATATTGAAACACCTAATTTTGATGATGATGATTATGAAACTGAGCAACCTACGGCTACTAGTACTCCTGATCCCGCTCCTAGTCCGCTCCTTTTCATTGTCCTGTTCCTGTTCCCCCTACATCCTAGGCCCAAGGTAGAACGTTCTAAAAAATAAGTTGTCTGGCAATTTATGACACAAAATAAAGATAAAACACAAGCTATTTGTAATAAATGTAAACATAGATTGAATTATAAAACTGTTGGATAAAAAGGTGGGATGGGACATTTGAGTAATCATTTAATGTCATGTTGTAAAAATGAATTTTTGAATGCTAAAGAGGTAGCCGAAGCTAAAAATAATGGTACCCCCCTTCCTGAAATTTTAGGATTAGGCAGCTCTAACATGGTCCAAAGACAATTAAATCCTTCTAATGTTTCTAGCTCTAGTTTACCACGGTCATATAATAGAGAAAAAGATCTTGAAGAATTAGCTAAAATGATTGTTGTTATGGGTTTGCCATTTAACTTTTTTGAAAATTCTGGATTTATACATTATACTCAAATTGTGTATAATCCACATTTTAAAGGTTTTACTAGAAACACAATTAAAAAGGTTGTATTTAATTATCAAGCACAACATTTCAATATCTTTATTATTTATTTTATTATAATAATGTAAAATAGTTATTACTTCTGATGGACCGTTGTATAAATGGTAATGATTATTTGACAGTTACTGCACATTGGATTGATGAAAATTGGAGTTTGCAACAAAGAATTTTAGGTTATAAATGTTGTCAGATGCAAAAAATCGATTGTTATATAGCTCAACCAATTTTAGATATTTTAGAAAGATATGGAATATGTGATAAAATAAGTAGTATCACCTTAGATAATGCTGCAAATAATACAGTTGTTGTTCAATTGCTAAAACCTTCTCTTTGCCTTGTTTATGATGATGATTATCATATAAGGTGTGCTGCACACATATATAATTTGATTGTTAGAGATGATATACAAATGTATGATAATGGTTGCACGAAAGTTGTAAATGCATGTCATTTTATATTTAAATGTCAAGTTAAGTCTAGGCGTAGAGATGTTCAAAATTGTTTTTTTGAATATAATCTTCCACCTAGAAAAGTTCCAAAAACAGTGTCTACTAGATGGAATTCTTTATATGAAATGCTTGTAGTCGCTTATGAGTATAGAAAAAACTTACAAATGGTTTGGAATGCTCATAATTCAGATATGTAATATGGACTCAATGATAGTGATTGACATGACATACATGAACTCATAAATTTCCTAAAAGTTTTTTACTTATTTACCAAAAGAATATCTGCACTTTATTATCCATCAATTGCAATGTTTTACCTGATATTTGTATTATTTCTTCTAAATTTTATAAATTTAAAAATAAAGCAAGATTTGAAGCAACTATTAACAAATTAATTGTAAAATTTAAAAAATATTTTATTCGTATTCCTCAAATTTATTTAACTGCTTGTTTGTTAAACCCTCATTACAAAGATGTAGTGCATCTAAGATGGTTGATAAAATATATTTTAACTTAGATATTGACAGTGAAAAAGATAAAATTGCTAGTTGTCAAGAAGTTAAAGATAGCATAAAAATTGAAGTTAGAAAGTTGTATGACTTATATAATTCTAATATAAATGTATCAAGTGATCAATAACCTGAAAGTTCTCGGAGTAGACATAATGAAGATAGTATTGATGAGTATTTAGATTCTTATTTTGAACTTTCTCAAAATAATAGAAATGATTTTGATGGATATGTTAATAAAAATACAGAACCTACTGAGATGTTCTAGAATGGTGGAGAAATCAAGGCAAAGGATTTTCAAAACTTCAACCGATGGCTCGAGATGTATTAGCTATTCAAGCATCTTTAGTAACTTCGGAAGGCATTTTTAGTGCAACAAGGTTTCAATTGGAGAGCATAGGCATTCACTAGTAGCAGATAACACTACAAAAAAATAAACTTTTACTGACGGATGTAATTCATCACTAATCTATGATATTCTGTCGCTAAACAACATTAGCGACAAATTAGCGATGGATTACTGTCTGTTGCTATATCGCTCGTTAGTAATCTCTTAGTGATGAAAAATGTGTTCCATCACAAATTTAGCGACGGACTAATCTATAACACCCTGTAGCCAAAATAGACCAAAGTTATTTTTTCAGAAAAATCTGCAGTGCAACCAACGGTGGCATCGACGTTCCGTAGGAAAGACGACGGTCCATCCTACACAACTGCCGATGGGATCAGGAACTCCCAAAAATTTGAGCCAGAAAAATTGGTTAAGTCTTGATCGAAGGACGGACCGACGGTATGCAGGTCAGACGACGGTCCGTAGTCTGCGACCGTTGATCAAGATCCCCATTCACCCACTCTCTGACAAGAGCTATGGATGACCAACACGGTCCGTGGTGGACTTATGGACCGTAGGTGGAAAATTTGCAGAAAGTTAAAGGTAAATGCAGTTGGGTCAACTTCAAATTGTCATAAATCTTAGCACAAAATGAATTAGGTGTCCCATGACCCATCCACATATATACAATTGAATTATTTTTCCATAGACACCAACCTTTCTAAAATCAGACCTCCGAGTAAAATGTTATGCCCATTTTAGTAAAGGTCTTTTGAATATGCCCAATCGACGAACCCAATGACAGGGCGTCGGTCAGACGACGGACCGTCAGTCCAGGTCGTCGTTTGGTCCAACAACTTTTCCAGGGGTCTTTTTGACCTTTTCCACTTTGTTTAAACCTTAAGATATGTTGTTTTGAACCTAAATCATTAGATTTTAGTCAGTTTAAGCCTAGAAACATAATTAAAACATATCCAAGTCAAATCATTAAATCAAAATCTAGAAAATTAGAAGCAATAGAGGAGAAAAACTCAAGAACCCTAGTTCAAGAACGCCACAAGTTCCCAGTTCCAACCCCGAAACTCAAGTATTTTTCCATGGATATCATCACCAGGTATGTGGGATTTCACTAGTGGGTTCCTTTCACCCATTGGGTCCCTAGTTTTCAGTTAGATTCTTGATTCCCATATCATGATTAGATCTAGGGTTTCTAGAACTTCAACAAAACTTTATGAATTTATTAGTTTTATGTTCTAAATCAGATTATCATGTTATTACTCAGATTATCACATGAATTTCAGAACCCTAGCTTTGTATTTCTTTAGTTCTTGAATACACATGCTAGGTCAGATACTTCAGACACTTCAGATATACATGCCTCAATTATAAATGCATAATTACCAGAATAATTGTTGCATTCTCAGTTTGCATGTTCAGTTTTGAGTTATTCAGTATTTACAGAAACTCAGACATAATTAGTAAATTTACAAAATCTATGGGAGTAGCATAATACCGAGTTGGACTAGGGTTCAACGTACCCAATTAGTCCTACAACTACCAGGCAAGTAGATTGTAAGTCCCCTTTGTGGGCAATCAGTTTAGTGATCATGCTAGCATGCCTTTATACCTTTGGTAGGGTATATTGGGTCCTCTCAACGGGGTGTATACATCGAACTTCACATTTAGCTCATGTGGTTTTATTATCGGTTATTAGTAGCTCCCACAGATCAGTCAGACTCTCTGCATTAACCATTTATCAGTATATTCAGTATTCAGTTTTAATATGTTATCAATTGGTCATTGCATCCATTTAGCTCAGAATACAGTTTATCATGTAAAATTATTATACTTGCTTTTATGCTTGTTCAGTTATGTTTTATTTCAACTTTACGCTATCCTACATGCTCAGTACCTTTCAACTACTGAACGCATACATGCGCTACATCTTTTCGTGATGTAGGTTCAGGTTCTCAGCATCCAGATCACGCATAGATGGAATTTTAATCTTTAGGTAAGTAGATTCAGTGGTGATTCCTCATTCTCAAAGGACAACAGTCATGAGTGTCATTTTAGTCTTTAGTCATTTAGTTTCAGTTTTGCTAGATTTTACTGGGGGCTTGTCCCAGTATTTCTAGTCTAGTTTAGAGGATTATTTCAGACATAGTTAGATTCAACTTAGTATTGAGTTAATATTTCCTTCGTATTAAACTCATTATTTTCAAATATTTCAGTTATAGAATATGGGTATTCCCTATCTTTTTCAGATTTAATTATGATTTAGTTTCCGCATTAGTTATTATCAATGGTATGCTCATGATCATGCCAGTAGGGTTAACTTGGGATCACTTGTGGTCCTAGATTCTGTGTCTGCGTCTCGGGGGTAGCTTGGGGCGTGACATAATCAGTCACTATATTTATAGATTCATTGCTAATTTCATAATTCATTACATCATTTTTAATAAATTCGTGACAAATTTTTCGTTGCTAATCTGTCGCAACATAATACGTTGTTTGAGCCAGCATATTTGGCACAAAACAAGTTCGTAGCTGGTCCGTCGCCATATTTGTTGCTAAATTTTTCTTTTAAATTTGATTTATTCAATATGCTGCTAATATAATTCAAATTAAATTGCCAAATACCCCAAAAATAATAAACATATAAAATAATATCATAGATGGTTTAAAATATAAAGAATATCAAAATCTAATATTTTCAATTAAACATCCAAAATAAAATATCAACTGTTCTCAAAAGAACCTACATTCATCAAATATTGTTACTGTAGAATTTGTACTTTCAAAAAACAAACAATATAATTAAAAAGGGATACGATTTTCACATGAAACTAATTAAGGATCAATCTCGTTCTCATTAGTAGTAGCTGAAAGAGGCACTAAGGGTGTAACTGTTGATGGGTTTTCAATGGGAGTACTCCTTTCTTGTACTCTCCCTATAATAACGGGAAGAAAGTAATTAATAAGGGCATAATGCATTTGCTTTACAAACTCATCCATATTTGTTATCGTTGTTGATCGAGAAATTGAAGGAAGTACTGATGATGAGGCAAAAAGTTTTTGCCCGTAGTAACTGTTGCTTCAGAACCGAGACCGTACCATATATTCTTCTCTTCTTTTCTCCCCCATAGCTTGATAAAATACTTCACATTAATCAATATCAGCTTGAGACACTATTTTTTTCTGCAATATTTCTTCATATTTTTCCTGTATTAAAAATAGAGGGAAAAATTAAAGCATCAAACATTGGGAATAAAATATATTTTGAAGGAAAATACAAAAACATGCCTATCCTTTTAAGCATTAACATTAATATACAAATTGACGCTTCAAATTTAATCTATGAAATTTAACAAACTATGAGATCTAATATATTTCAAAGGGATCAAGTGAGCATATTGTGAGAGATCATGAGGGAACTTCGTTGCAAATCATGGAAACAACTAGACAGACGAAAAAATCATCTATAAAGTGCAAGATGCTAATAGGAATGTGTTTCCCCTGCCTAATGTCAAGAAATGGATTAGCAGCCCAATTTGGAGAACAAAAAATCATCTAGTGATCATAAACAGATGCATTATCCACAGAGAATGATCACCATCATATGAACATACCAACATTTCATCGAAATAAAGAAACAGATGGATGAATAATACGACAGATCCGCAGAAGTTCCATTTCATGCATATGAACCATATGATCTCAACTAAGAAAACAACTCAATTCATACCTAAACAAAAGTAATATACACTATAGATATCGATATTTTGTGTTTTGATTTTTCACTGCTCAATTATTAAATAGTATTCAACACAAATTGCTTAACCTTTCAATTTCACTAAAGAATGGAGCTTTCAAAAGCTCCATAGCAGTTGGTCTATCGTCTGGATTCTTTCCAAGACAAGGAAGAACAATCTCATCAAACTACCGCGAAAACACCCTTGTCTTTCATTTAGCAAAATCCATCACTTTCTTGAGTTTCTCATCCCTCTTGATCATCATCTTTTAAAGTGATTTTGAAAATTTCTTCATAACTATATAAGAAGCTTCTACAATATAATAATAGAGTTTTTAGCCAAAACATCCTTACACAATCCGTATCATTTAAGGTGCATCCTTAAATTATGCTTGTGAACAAAAACATCCTTGAAGTGTAAAAAATTGGTAGTTTTCATCATGTTGTTAAGCTCCGGCAAAAAACTAACACCTACCCTTTGGATGCAATTCACATGAATTTTTCGACCCTAAAATCCCCAAATTACACAGAAATAATGTCGAGATGAGAATACTAAATAAGAAAGAAAACCACCCTATATAGAATTGAAGACCAAAATATAAGATGACGATCAAGTACGAAAGACAACTGTAGAATGTTATCCTGTTCAGCTAACACATCGAGTTTAAATAGAGGAACAAATAAAATTGAGTCGTATTACATATATTTTGGTAACTAACAACTTTAATGGATTGATTTAAAAGTAATACATTTATTACACATTCTAAACTAACTTATTATTAAAAGTTATACCTTGAATTCTCAGAAATAACCATCTCTTGTATTGTTTGAGACACTTTTCCAATTGATTCCATTGGAATCAACATCATTTCTAAAAGATTTAGATATTAAACTCGAGCATGTGTTAGAAGGTTCAAATCTGAATACATTTGAAGACATTGTTTGAATACTTATCATTAAATAAAAAGTAATATAAGTATCTGAAACTATATATATAAGTTCTTAGAAAAAAATAATACTCAGATTATATAGCTGCTGATTTTTCAGATCCATTATTTATTCACTATATAAGTTATATAAGTTATGATCCTCTTACTCTCAACATTAAGAACTTTCATTACGGTCACTTTAAATGCAAATTCTATACATTAACCACACAACAAGTTGCAAAATTAAAGGTTGCAAACATTAACTGCACAACAAGTTGCAGAATTCAGAGGCTGCAAGATTAACTACACAAAAAATTGCATAATTCAGAGGCTGCAAACAGTAACTACACAACAAGTTGCAGAAATTTTCTTATCTTTGATTCGTTTCATAAAAGCAAGATCTCTAATTGTAGAAAAAATGAACAAATTGACAACCACTTATGATAAGAGGTTATTTTCAGCAACTTTTTATCACCTAACAAATTCTTGATATTCTTTATGAAAAAATGAACAAAAATTCTTAATGTTCTCTATTTATTCACAAAGCTTTCAGCAACTTTTTTTTTATCACCAAACAACTTGAGGAAAATAAAGTGAAAAAAATAAATACCATATTTTTTCTTGTTAAAACAGGTATAAACAGAAATGTTTGTGCCGAGATCAACTCAAGTAATACCATTCACATTGAGCTCAAGGATCGTGGACAATATATAGATAATATATTTCCGCACTATAGGTGAAATAAACCATCAATTTTTTTACAAAGTCATATTTATTCTTTTCCTTTGTCTATCTGCAGCGAGATCACATCTTAAGCACTACTTATGAGTAATAAGCTCTATCTTTGCAACCTATTCGGATACATTGTCCTTACCCATTCATGTAATTAATTTTAATATGGTATATCTTGGATGAGTTTCCTAACATTTAGTATGACTTAGTCATAGACCTATATTAAAGTCAACTTGAATTTCATAAAATTGTTTCACTAAACAAACAAGCTAAGCTACAATGTGGAGTGTGTATTGTTCTTTTATAAATCTTCCTCTCGGGCTGATCAATGGAAGCACTGTTGGCAAGCTATAGAGTGCTCAAACTAAGGAACCTCTTATGAACCCACCCCTTACCTTCCCTATTAATTGTTTTAGAATATTACCTATGTCCCGCGCTGCCTACTCCCCGCTGCCCCGTTTAAGTATTTCCCTTCCTTGCCTTGCTTTTGACCTTCCCCATTGCCATCCCTAATAAACTAACATTATTTATTATCAGAAAAACTTATCCAACAAAAATTATAAGCAAAAAAAACTTAACCAACACATTTTTCTTTAGAAAAAAAATTCTACTGTGGGAGTTAGGAAGGGGTAGAAAAAAGTGATACCTTTTAATAAAGCCAATCAGATCGATAACCACTAGTCACAGACAAAAAAAGATATCTGCGGTACAAAACAAAACATAAATAAGTGTGTAATTTACTTTGCAAAAAAGTATATCATTTTTGAAATAAGACATCAACAGTAACCACGCTATTGCAGAATTGGAGGTGTTAGATTAAAGTAACACTTGGTTATGAATGCAAGAGAGTAACTACATTATGCAAACTTGTCACTCTTAATGCAAAAAGAGTAGACAGACTAAAAAAAACTTATTTCTTGGTTAGATCAAAGGAAATGAAGGTTGCATTCTTTCCTTGTTTAGTTATTCTACTATGCGCTATAGTAGTAACAAATAGGTCGTCACTCAGACGTTGAAAATCAGAGGTGTCCATATATCGAAACATCTTGCCAGTGCACTAGAAAGAGACAATAATACTGTTGTTGCAATAATATTGTTGCAGACAAAAGTGGTTACACTAGGATGTTAGATTAGATGTTGAGAAAAATCATAGAGGAAAGGGGGCAAATGGGGCTGTAAGTGTTGCTCATCAGCCACTTACTCAAACACCGCACAAAATTGTTAAGCTGTAATGCTAAAGCAACTGTCTATCTCAAATGTTTCAGTTTTCATCAAGTCTCTAGAGAAGAAAACTGGTACCTCAAACACTACACCAAATCATAAATTTTTTTATTACAAAACCCTATTTCCAATACACCCAAACTTCTAAGCTCCTATTTTCAAAAAGATTCAACCTTAATTCCCACAAATTGGAACCTCACCAAACCCCATTTACCCAAAACTGAAACCTCAAATACTGCACATTAATCGAGTTTGATTTTACACAACAACTATTGTCCTAAAAAAATACAATACTCCACTAAATAATTAATTGATTGAACTAAAAGAGTACTTACTTGTTAATGGAAGATTTGATTTATAATTTGAAGGCAAATAGAGCTGAAGAGAGAGAGAAAAAGGTTAAAAAGGCAGTTCATCGATTGAAGATGGAGAAATGAAGAAGAATGTGCTCACTACATTGATCAAGATGAAGAGGTTAAGAGCTCACTTTATTCAGCTGAGAGTTCCATTGGAGAGGTTGAGAACTCACTTTCTTCATATGAGAGCGTAAATATTGAAATGAAATTTTGCCCTAGAATATATGACATAAATAAATTTTGCAACATACTTAGCAACGAGTATCATTCGTGGCTACCTAATAAAGATATTTATGAAGATTAAATTCTAGCGACGGAATTTTCCCTCGCTATATAATATAATATTATAAAAATATATTTAAAGATTAAATTCTAGCGGACAGAATTTTCCGCCGCTATATAATATAATTATATAAAAAATATATTTAAAAATTTTGCGTCGGATTTTCCATCACTAATTTCGTCGCAAAATGTTAATTAAATTTCTCACGACTAATTTGTTACTAAATTCATAGGATATTTTTGGCGCGAAATTTTCGCGCTGATATTTAGTGACGTACAAAATATTCCATCGCTAATCCGTCACTACATCATAAGTCAAAAAACTCTTTGTTATTTTAGCAACAAAATGGCAATTTCATTGCTAATGTGTCGTTATTTAGGGATGGAATATAATTCGTCGTTAAATGCTATTTTTTTAGTAGTGTAGCTTGGAGATATTGGTATTATTTAGAGATTGGATTAATGCCAAGAGAAAAAAATTTGGGTCTTGAACCACTACCGACCAAATTTCAAAGTGACGTTGATGAAATAATGCAAGATTATAGTGACGACTGCATTGAAGTAATGGATAGTTTATCTATTCAACTAATTTCCAATCATGTTACTATAGAAATGTTAAATGATTTAAGAAAAGATCTCTATCGTAGCACCGACTATTAAATTTTAATGTTTAATTGTCTATTAGTATGAGTATGATAATTCGAGATCTAATTGAAACAGAACCCTTGCTAGAAGGTGGCTGCGTAGATTAGATCTTCTAATACTCTACTAATATTTTTGTAGATCAAATTCTATTATCAAATTAATATAAATAAAAGTCTAGGCTATTCGCCTAAATTTTTTGTAGCATTATCTTAAATTTAATTTTTATTATTGTGAAATTTAAATTTTATAGTTTTTAAAGTTTGAAATTTAAACTTTTATAACCTCAAAGTTTGAATTTTAAATTTTCAAACTTTTAAAGTTAAAATTTTAAACTAAAAATATGAAATACAAAACTTATATAATATATGTATTCAAAGTTTCAAACTAATATTTAAATTATATATTTATAATTTGAAAGTTTGAATTTTTACAAACTTTCAAACTTTATACATTAAAGTTTTACAAACTTTCAAATTTTGAAGTTTATAAAGTATAAATAAATTAGCTTTAAAAGTTTGAAAAGTATAATTTTTTTAATATTAAGACAATAATTTTTAATTATTAAAATTTTAATTGATCTTAATAATTCTTTAAAAAAATTATATCCAGCCAGTCACGGAATCCAGTCTAGTTAACGGTTCACTGGCGCACCGAGACGGGTACAGGTATAAAATACCGAAACTATCAGTACCGGTCTGTCCTGGTTCCGGTACGGTCCTTGGTGGTGGTTCCCAATTCCGTGCCGTTTTCGCTTAATACCGGTCTGGCAGTCCCGGATCCGGACCCGCTGCCACCCTTAGGTTCAAATGTCACAGTGTATCCAGGAAACTCTGTTGAAGAGCTTCAGAAAGTATTAAAATTATGCATATTTCTAATATCGAGAGGGTGGAAATTATGGCCTTGGGGTGTTTCTTTCCTCAAGAAGTGAGGGAGGAAAAGGTATGAGAGTACCCCACACTTAAGTAGGATTTTTTGAGCGTTCTTGAGTATAGTATGAAGTTCTCCCAAATTTTATTCAAAGCTCTGGAGATGGTTGCTCACATGAGAAGTAGGATGAGTTTGTTTGTTACTGGGTTGTCTCGTCTATATAGTAGGGAAGGCACAACAGTTATGCTGATAGGAGATATGAACATAGAAAGGTTTGTGATCCATGTGCAACAGGTTGAAGAAGAGAAGCTTAAAGGTAGAGAGAAGTTTTTTTAATAAGAGAGCTAAAATAGGGGATGTGTTTGGGTAGCTAAAGAGTAATGCCAACTGATTATCTTCCAATATAAAAATGGGGACATGATCTATCATCTATTAGTGCACCTACACCAAGGAACAAAGGTGAATACAACAGCCAGAAATCACAGGTTTCAGAGCTATACCTACCCATTATCAAGATAGTATGCACAACAGAGTAGTAAGCCTCTTGCATGTACTAAGTTTGGTAGGATCTACTTAGGGATATGTTGTGATGACTCCACTGGTTGCTTCAAGTGTTGTCAGAACGGTCATTTTATGAGAGAATGTCCTATGAACAGGCAATATAATGACAATGGGGGAAATAATGCGCAGTCTTCATTTGCTCCACCATATAAGGCTGCATCTAGAAGATCTAGTTCAGGGGCAGGCGCAAGAGGAAACCACTTGTATACTATTACGAGTCACCAAGACCAAAAACATTTGCTAGATGTTTTCACTGGCATGATCCAAGTCCCTAACCTTGATGTTTATGCTTTCTTAGATCAAGGAGTGAGTTTATGTTTTGTGACTCTATATACTGCGATGAATTCTGATGATCTTCTTGAGAAACTTCTTGATCCTATAATGTTTCTACACCTGTTAATCAGTTTATTCTAGCAGAGAGAGTTTGTCGTGATTATACTATTTCCTTCAATTACAAGAGCACGATGGCTGACTTAGTTGAGTTAGACATAATAGATTTTGATGTCGTTCTAGGTATGGACTGGCTTTTGTGATGTCTCAATTGATTATAGAACTCGAGTTGTTAAGTTCCAATTTCCTAATGAGCCAGTTATAGAGTGGAAAATAATTCAACAGTGCCTAAAGTCATTTTATTTTGTACCTTAGGGCGAGAAAGTTAGTTTCCAAGAGATGTGTGTAATTTAATTCAAGTTAATAGCTCTAGTGTTGCGATACCTCTTTTTCAGGCAGCTGCAGTAGTAAAAGAGTTTCCAAAAGTTATTCTAGATGATATTCCTGGAGTCCCTCTTGAGAGTAAAATAAACTTTGGTATAGATATTCTTCCCGATACTCATCCCATCTCTATTCTGCCACATAGAATGGCACCAGTTAAAAGAGTTAAAGGAGTAGTTGAAAGATCTGTCATATAAAAGTTTTATTCGACCAAGTGTGTCACCTTGGGGCACTCTAGTCTTATTTGTGAGAAAGAAGGACGGTTCCCTTAGGAAGTGTATAGATTACCGTCAATTGAATAAGATTACCATTAAGAATAAGTATCATCTTTCGAGAATTGATGATCTCTTTGATCAACTTCTTGGTGCCACTTGTTTCTATAGGATAGACCTCAGATAGGACTATCATTAGTTAAGAGTAAGGAAATGTGATATTTCAAAGACAACATTAAGGACCCGTTATGATTATTATGAGTTTTTGGTCATGTTGTTCGGTTTAACTAATGCACCCACAACGTTTATGGATCTTATGAATAAAGTATTCAAGCCTTATTTTGATATGTTTTTTATCGTATCATTGATGACATACTAACTACTCGAGGAATGAGGAAGATCGTGCTAGTCATCTCAGAGTAGTTCTCCAAACTCTAAAGGATAGAGAGTTGTATGTAAGTTCTCTAACTGTGAGTATTAACTTGAGTCTGTGATATTTTTAGGCCATATTGTTTCTGGTGATGGAATTAAAGTTGACACTTAGAAAATAAAGGCAATGCAGAATTGGTCTAGACCCACATCTGCAAGTGATATTATGAGGTTTTTGGGATTGGCTGGATATTATAGAAGGTTTACAGAGGGGTTCTCATCTATTTCATCCTTTTTGACCAAGTTCACTCAGAAAATAGTGAAGTTTCAATGGTTTGAAGCTTGTGAGTAAAGCTCCCAAGATTAAAAAAGAGGTTGACTACCCAGTATTGACCTTACCAGAAAGTATGTAAGGTGTTGTTGTGTATTGTGATGTGTCCATAGTTTTATTGGGTCACTTGTTAATGTAGAATAGTA